ACCACCCCCCCAGCCCCAGGGTGGCCGGGGGGGGGGGGTGTCCCCAGCTGACCTTGAAGGCGTGGTCACGGATGCTCTCGATGACGTCTCGGAAGAGGATCTTGGAGGTGAGTGCGTGGCCGTGGCACACCAGGGGCTCCCCAGCAGGGCCCTCCCAGCAGTCCAGCTCCACGCAGCGACACCCGGCCAGCAGAGCCCTGTCACCCCCACAGTCACCCCCGGCCCACGGGCCACCAGAGCTGGGGGCCACCAAGGGAGGTGGGTTCTGGGGGGGCACCCACCTGACGTAGGCTTCTGTGCTGCTGCTGCCTCCCACCTGGTGGTGGGTCAGGTAGGTGTTGTGGGAGGAGGAGATGAAGTAGTGGCTCAGGGGTTGGTTCATGTCCTGGTGGACCTTGGTGTGCTCCTGGTTGAGGATGTCCCCAGCAGCCGACAGCAGGTACATCATGAAGCCGTCCAGGGTCATCAGGTCCTGCTCTCTGGCTGTGGGACACAGCAGAGGGGTCAGAGAGGGGCTGGCAAGGGGACTGTCCCCAGCTGGGTGTCCCTGCTCCTGGCAGAGCCACGTTCACCCCAGACCTGCCACTGTCCTGATGTCCCCCACCCTGTTAATGCCATGTTCCCTGGACCTCATGTGGTGACACCCATGAGATGCAGGGGTCACCCTCTCTCCACCCTGATGTGGACCCCTGTCCTCACAGTGCCACGTTCACCCCAGACCTGCCACTGTGGCACCCAGGAGATGTGAAGGTTCCCTTGCTGTCCCACCTCCACCCTGACATCCCCCCATCTACCCCAGGGGTACAACTGTGATACCCAGGGAACAAGGAGGTCCCCACTGTGATGTCCCCTGCGCTCCTAGTGCCACGTTCACCCTGGACCTGCCTCCTGGGTGGGACCCAAGAGACATGAGGTCCCCTGGCAGTGTCCCATTCATGCTATGGCTGCCACTGTCACCCAGGAGACATGGAGACCCCCCTGCTGCCCATCCCCACCCTCATGTCCCCTGTCCCCACATCCGCCAGGGACCAGCAAGGCCACATGTTTGACCACTGGATGAGCTGGACCACGGGTGCCAAGGCCCCCCCAAAGCTGGGAAAGTTCTCGCCCAAACCTGGCAAGACCCCTCAGAGGTGTCACCACCGAGCAGAACCACAACCCCAGGCCGCCCACGACCACCCACCACAGGTGTAGCGAGCTGGGCGTCCTCAGCCCTACCCTTCTGGTTGAGCTCGTAGGCTTGGATGGCAGCACGAGCCTGGCTCGGGGTGGCCTCCTCGCCCTGGTCCCTCAGGAAATCCTGCAGCTCCTCGGCCGACAGGACCTGGTCCTCCCCCGAGTAGTGCCCGAACAGCTCCTCCAGCTCCGGGCGCCGCAGCAGCCGCCGGCAGAACTTCTCCAGCTCCTGCTCCTCCAGCCGCTCGTCCCCCGAGTGGTCACATCCCTGCCGGGACCTCAGTCCAGCCTCGGGGAGCAGCCCCTGCCCACCCACCCCCCGGCCCTGGGGGTTGGCAGCGGGGTTGATGGGTCTGGGGGGTTCGGTTGGTTTGAGGGGTGGGTGCCCGGAGGGGTGTGGGGGGGTGTCCTCTCTGACCCACCCCCAGCCTCGCAGAGCACCGTGCCTCAGTTTCCCCAGGTGGGAAAGGGACCTTGGGACATGTCCATGGAAACAGTACCCCATGGAGGGGGTAATGTCACACCTTGGGGGTGCACAGAGCAGGGGGGAGGACAGCTCAGCCCACCCCCCAGCATGGGCTCATGATGGGACCCAACCATTGGTGGTGGGCTTGGCTGTTGGTGGTGGATCCAGGCACTGGTGGTGAACCCAGTGACTGCTGGTGGTCCCAGCCATTGGAGATGGACCAGCCACTGGCAGGGCACCCAACCATTGGTGGTCCC